CTCTGTCCTGCGTGGCAGTGAGAAGTGATACCACCCTCAGTGTCAAGACCTGACTGAATTACTCAGAATAGGCAAACTGTACTACAAGCTGTGCCAATAAATTTGTTAAACTAACTAAACATTAACAGTATTTGTTCCTCCAATATTAAGTACGCTGCACTTGCTGGTGTTGAATTTCATATGCCATTTTTCTGACCACCCCTGCAGTTTATTTAAATCCTCCTGCAGTGCATTTGCATCCTGCCCTGAATTAATCTGCCGCCCTATTTTGGTGTCATCCGCAAACTTACTTATGTCACTGCTGATCCCAGTATCTAGATCGCTTATGTAGATTATGAACAAGAGTGGGCCCAGTACTGACCTCTGGGGAACCCCACTGGTTACACAGCCCCACTCCGATTTAACACCATCTACGCTGACCCTCTGTGTTTTGTCGGCGAGCCATGCTTTTATTCAATTTAAAACTTTACCCTCGATACCATGAGACTTAACTTTTCTCAGAAGCCTCTGATGCGGTACTCTGTCAAGCGCTTTGCTAAAGTCTAAGTAAATAACATCGTAATTTTCGTCATTATCTACTACCTCGAAGACTTTCCTAAAAAACGTCAGCAGATTTGTAAGACAAGATTTTCCCTTTGTAAACCCATGTTGAGAGTCATAGATTAATTTGCATTTCTCTAAATGGTATCGGATGCTATTTGCTATAATTGATTCAAGAAATTTCCCCACTACTGACGTCAAACTATTCAGCCGGTAATTTGACACTGATGCTCGGTCTCCCTTTTTGAATATGGGTACTACATTTGCCTGTTTCCACAAGTCTGGCACAACTCCCGTGTCTAATGATTTTGTAAATAAATTTACGAGGGGGCTCCGCTAATCTGTTCCTTACACTCTTTCAAAACTCGAGGAAAAATTTCATCCGGTCCTGGGGATTTTGTCTTTAATTTATTTATTTTCTTAAGAACATCCTTCTTTAATTTATCTTCTTCATTTCCCCTAAATATCAGTTCCACCTCTGGAATTTCCTTGTGAATTGCTTCTGTGAAAACTGATAAGAAGTAGCTGTTTAATGCTTTGCCTATTTCCTCACTGTCATCGATCACTTCCACTCTCTCTGACTTTAAAGGCCCCACTTTGTCCTTGACCTTTGTCCTATATACATGGAAAAATCCCTTGGGATTCGCCTTGGATTCTCTTGCTATTTTGATTTCATAGTCTCTCTTTGCTTTCCTTACATTTTTCTTAACATTCCTAGATAGTTCATTATACCTGTTTCTGAGCTGCTCCTCCCCTCCCTTTAATTTCTTATAAATTCCTTTCTTTATTCCTATGTCATGTTTGAGTTTTCTGGTCATCCACCTTGGCTCATGCTTATTTGACCTAATTTTTCTGTATGGTATATTCTGTTCTTGTGCTTTACGTAGTACTGTATATGAGTAAATATATTATAGTCATGATCAATTGTTGTGTCATCTATGACCTCACCAGTTCCTACTGGGGACTGACCTGACTGTTCCCAGGCTACCAAACCTAGGTACCTTCTTAACCCCTGATAATCCGCCAATCGAAAGTTTGGGACTCTGACCATATTGTCATTGTTTTTCGTTTCCCAATTTAGGGTGAACCTGATTTCTCTGTGATCACTGTTCCCTAGTTCTTCCCCTACTGTGATATCTCTGATAATATTTTCTTTATTTGTTAATACTAGGTCTAATATATTTTCACCTCTGGTAGGTTCTGCAATTAGAGGTTTTAAAAAATTGTCCTGTACTGCATCTAGGAAGTCTTCAGATTCACAGTCACCTACAATGTTGGCCCAGTCAATATTTCTGAAGTTGAAATCCCCCATAATGCACAGGTTGTTGTATTTTGCTGCCCTGCTCATTTCTTGCCATATGGGCTGAGCTGCTTCTTTCCCAAGACTTGGGGGCCTGTAAATCACTCCCATAATTAGTTTTCTCTTTCTTCTGCAATTTCTACCCACACAGACTCGGTTCCAATTTCACCCTTTATTGAATTATTAATACAACATTTTAATGTATCCCTGACGAAGAGTGCGACCCCTCCCCCCTTCCTACCTTCCCTGTCCTTGTGAAAAAGGTTGTACCCTTCTATGTGGTACCCTGATAAAAAGTTCTTGCTCGTCAGATTCAACCAAGTTTCGGTGATTGCTATGACGTCTACATTCTCAGTACATACAACCGCTCTCAACAAGTCTATTGTATTTCTAACGCTCCTACTGTTTGTATAGTAGACATTTAAACCTAACCTTCCCTGGTCCTGTTTTACCCCTTGTCCTGAGTAACCAACTTTACTCCCCCGGAACTGCTTGTTTTTTGACTCCCACTTACCCCGACCTCTCTCTACAGGCATTCCCCCACCTTTGGAATGACAGTTTTACGCTCCAGGGTTGCAGACAACGGCTTTACCTCCGCACGAGACAAGTGTACTCCGTCACGACTGTACAGGTAGTCGTTGCCATAGAATGGTTGCCAGCTATCAATGAATGCCCAACCATTACTTGCACAATGTTTTTCCAGTCAGCAATTTATAGCAATTGCCCTGGACACCCATTCACCACCAGCTCCTCTTCTAGGCAAGAAACCAAATACTATTGGGATCCCCCCCCCCTATCTCTAACCTTCCCTAGCGCCTCCCTATACCTCTTGAAAAGTTCCTCACTCCTAACCTAACCTTTCCTATGACCTACCACCCACACTAAAACACACTCCTGGATTGGTACCCTCTCCTGACAAAACCCTATCTATCCTCTCAGCTACATGCCTTATCCCAGCCCCAGGAAAACACACCCTAGTCCTACGTTTCCTTTCTCTTGCACAAAAAGTCCTATCTAAGAACCTCACCTGGCTGTCCCCAACTACCCCGACCTTACCACTGGGCAGGGTTTGAAGAAATGCCCTTTCTCTCCTGCCACCACACTGTCCTGCCTCTTCTCTTTCTCGTCAGCTTCCTCCAACACTTGGTAGGGGTTACTACACTCCACACCCTGGTCAGCTTTCCTGAGTCTGACCCTAGTCCCCTTGGAAACAACCACTCTCCACGCTTGCTCCTCCTTCGCAGGTGTCCTGCTAGGCAGGACACCTACCTGAAGGAGTTCAATCCTGAGGGCCTCGTTCTCCCCCTTTAGAGCGTTTATCTCTCTCCTCAACTGCTCCAGCTGACTTAACAGAGTGGCCAGGAGGTCGTCTTTCCCCACACTCCGCCCCTCTTCCCCCACAACACAACGATACACGGTGGCCATTTCCCCTGGTCACTAACACGAGCACTTAGGGGCACGTCCTTCTCCAGGCTAGGTCAGGTAGCGTATGAGCTACTGTAGGTCAGGTAGCGTAATATGTAATCAACTGATCTTAAACCTTGAGAAAACCCACTACACGATCTTTCACAGAAGGAAAAACTTACCCCAAGACTTGGACCCCCCTGTACCTTGGTAATACAGTCCTCAAACGTGAACAAAATACTAAATTCATCGGCGTTATTGTTGATGAGAAACTTACCTGGAGAAACCACATTCAAGCCATTCATAGTAAAATTAATAAACAGTGCAGTATCATGTATCACACTCGACAGTCACTCACTCTCACAGCAATGAAAGAAATCTATCATGATCTTGTTTACCAACACCTGATACACTGTCACACACTATGGGCGGGGGGGGGCTCTGGTTCTTCAAAAACACAATCCCTGGTTACTGCACAAAAGAGAGTTATACGGACAATGACCTACTTGAATAAAACAGATAACACAAACGAAAAATTTGCTAAATTGAAAATGTTAAAATTCGAAGATAGTAACACTTACTGCTGTGCCCTCTTTGTTTACAAATCTATCACTTACTTCAAAATAATTATTTCCAGTTCTGGAATAATCAAAGTTACAACTTAGGCACCCAGGCCTATTAAGACCACCCCCCATGATCTCCTCAGTCCCAGACCTCCATAAAATATCATGGTGTGAAGGTGTGGAACAACTTACCCCCACCCATCAGAGCAAAGACTACGTTACCTTCCTTTAAATCATCTCTTAAAAATATTTATTGTCTAAGTTTTAATATTTCTTGTAATACCTACTATATTTACAGTACCTGCTTTTATTGTACCATCAAAACCGTTTTATCGGAAATTATCATGTAAATAGATAAGAAATTACCATTGCAATAAATATATTTGCCAACTAGACATAAACCTAACAGCCCTGTCCTCTTGTTCAACCTTAATACTGTACAACCCGTGTTGCACTGCTCCCCCATTATACTTATGTTTTTTCAATCCCACTGTATTTTATTTATATACTTATATAATATAAAAAATATATATATAATAAATAAATGAAATTAATAAATATTGAAGTAATAACCATGGTAACATTATGAGATGTTCTTATTACCACCATACTATTGTACTATTCCAGATGTTACTAAATGTTACATAATACTTCCTTGAGATAAATTTATAGTATATATCAGGTGCCTAAAAGAGAGCTCAGGTTCTCAACTGGCTCAGCCATGTTAATATTGTTATTATTATCCACTCTGTGTCTGTGTTTTTCTGGCTAAATAAACTGATTCAATTAAATTATAAATATTATGGTGATCTACATGATCGTCTATGGCCAGTCGTGTTTGTTTATGCATGGGTGTGTGCATGTTTAAGGATTAGGAAAGACATGAATAAAAAAACATCATTAAAAGTTTTTGTGGATATGATTCAAGTGTTCCGAAAGAAGTAAAGAAACACCCTGTTATCTTAATTTTCTAGGCGACCACCCACGGTCACGCCCCACGATACACGTACACAACATAAACACACATTGACATAACCGGCGGAACGCTTCGGGAAGTCAGAGCCTTTATACATACACATGATGTCCTCTGTTCTTCCGGAGGCCAAGTCTGCACACAAAACAGATGTGATTATATCAGCTATTGTCCTTTTCAAACACAGGACCGACGTAGTTTATGCAGGAAGGATGTTGAACATTAATAAATTACGATGCCAGATTACAGTCATCCAGTGAAAGTGAGGGTACAAAAGAACAAGTTACTTGATGACCTTGACTCAAAAAGGTATAAGGCAGTGCACATGAAGACTCAATCTTTATTGTGCCTCCTACGAAAGGTGATGTAACGTGGTGATGTGTAGGAGTGTAGGACAGTGTGATGGTGGTGGTGGTGAGTAGGACACTGTACGGTGGTGTGTAGGACAGTGTGTTGTGCAAGACAGTGTGTGATAGAGGTGGTGTAGGGTAGTATGTGGTGGCGGTGTGTAGTAGAGTATGTCGTAGCGGTGTGTAGGACAGTGCGTTTGGTGGTGGTGTGCAGGACAGTGTTTGGTGGTGGTGTGTAAGACAGACAGTGTTTGGTGGTGGTGTGTAAGACAGACAGTGTTTGGTGGTGGTGTGTAAGACAGACAGTGTTTGGTGGTGGTGTGTAAGACAGACAGTGTTTGGTGGTGGTGTGTAAGACAGACAGTGTTTGGTGGTGGTGGTGGTGTGTAAG